ATATATATGTGTGTGTGTATATCACGAAAATAAACACGTGATTAAGAATGTGACAATGTCAGACCACGGAGGAAAAATGATGAAACAGGAAATTTCCTTAAGTACTTTCGTATATTAAATACATCTTCAGAAGGTTGACCTTCTGAAGATGTATTTAATATACGAAAGTACTTAAGGAAATTTCCTGTTTCATTTTTCCTCCGTGGTCTGACATTGTCATATATATATATATATAGGGGTACCACCTCTGGTGCAATTGCAAGGACCCACATCCTCGAAGAAGAAAACAAAGAGCTTTCAGAGAAGATCTTATGGATTCTCACTGAACACTTTAATCTTTTCTTCTCCTACCACCCCTATTTTTTTTTTTGTATGTTTTGTTTTGTTTTATTTTATTTTATTGCAATGCTACAGTTTACAGAGAATACACACATATATATAACAATATAACAATCAGCGTTCGAATATCTCGTCCAGCTCCTCGGAGGATGGGTGCGTACCCAGGATACAGCATGCATTTCCCCTCTGAACTGCGACAGTGAGGCGCTGGAACAGGAAACTGGCCGCTCATGTGTGTGTCTAGTTTTCCCAATGAGTTCCTCACCCACCTCCTTTAGGAACTTAAGTGCACATTTACCCCAGGCGCCCAGAGTCTCAGAGCCTATCGGCACGAACCTGTAACAACGTTCTAAGTCTCTGTACTTGTTGATTTTCTGGGTCTCCCTGAAGGTGGCTGCCCCACCTCCCTCCGCTGAGCTGTAACGTAGATAGGTATCAGCCAATGTGGAAGCACATGTGTAATCCCAATAATTACAAAGCATCGTGAGCGTCCATATAGCCCTTATTCTCGCCTCCATCCTCCTCAGGTCTTTCAGCTTTTCTTCGAGGACTACCTCAATGGCGTTCGACCCCAGAGGTGCCCCTAGCAGCACACTGTCGGTGGGAGCGATCACTGGGGCCCCTGACAATAAGGTTCGTACTACATCTATGATTGGTTGACTGGATGAGATGATTTCACACTTTGATGGGTTTAGTGTAAGGCCTAGTTCCTCTCCCTTTGATTTCACTAACTGAAGATCTCCTAGCAGGGATTCCTGTGTCCCTGCCAGGGTGCCATCGTCCAGGAACCAGATGTTGAATTCGCTGCACAACCTGCTTGTGACCTCTTTAGCTGCCATGCAGAAAAGGAAAGGGGCAAGTGGGTCTCCCTGCTGGACACCTGCAGAAACAACTTCATGTTCCCCAAACAACAGTGTATATATATGGTCACTGCTTCACAAGCGGGGATTTTTCTGGCGGGGGAGAAAGAAACAATTGCGCAGCGCGTCCCGCGGCGTTGCGCGGGCAGTTTGGGGCCGTATAAATACGGGCGCACAATGGGGCTCTGCCTCACTCCGCCAGCCCTCGCCGCTGCCCTCGCAAAACCCCACCCTCCCCCCCTTTGCAAGCGGCTGCTTTTGTACCCCCGTCATGCTTTGCACAGTTGTCCCGATTGTCTCCCCACTGCATGTGGAAAGGGGGGTGCAGCGCCGGTCCCCAAGTGTCCCGCTGTCCGCAGCTAATACTTTGCCCAGTCTAGGTGCTAGTAAGCCCTACTTGTAGTCACACCCCCTTCTCCTTATCCATTAGGTCTTTTACGGCCTCTTGGCCGGGTACATTACGTGTTATGTGGTCTCTCACTTATTAGTT